TAACCTCCTCTTGTTGAAGACCCCCAGGGTAGGGGAGAGCACCACCTCCCTTGGGAGCCCGTTCCAGACCTTGGCCACTCGAACTGTGAAGAAGTTCTTCCTAATGTCTAATCTAAATCTGCTCTCTGCTAGCTTGTGGCCATTATTTCTTGAAACCCCCGGGGGCGCCTTGGTGAATAAAAACTCACCAATTCCCTTCTGTGCCCCCGTGATGAACTTATAGGCAGCCACAAGGTCGCCTCTCAACCTTCTCTTGCGGAGGCTGAAAAGGTCCAGTTTCTATAGTCTCTCCTCATAGGGCTTGGTCTGCAGGCCCTTAACCATACGAGTGGCCCTTCTCTGGACCCTCTCCAGGTTATCCGCATCCCTCTTGAAGTGCGGCACCCAGAATTGCATGCAGTACTCCAACTGCGGTCTGACCAGCGCCCGATAGAGGGGAAGTATCACCTCCTTGGACCTATTCGTCATGCATCTGCTGATGCACGATAAAGTGCCATTGGCTTTTCTGATGGCTTCGTCACACTGCCGACTCATGTTCATCTTGGAGTCCACTAGGCCTCCAAGATCCCTTTCCACTTCCGTGCCACCCAGCTGGTCATTTCCTAGGCTGTAGGTGTGCTGGACATTTTTCCTCCCTAGGTGCAGCACTTTGCATTTCTCCTTGTTGAACTGCATTCTGTTGTTTTCTGCCCACTTGTCCAACCTGTCCAGGTCTGCTTGCGACTTTTGTCGCCCTCTGCTGGATTCTCCAATTTGTCCATATCCTTTCACTAGCTCTGGACTCTAATAAACACAAATTAATCTTAAAACTGAATGTTATTGGGATTCATTACCTTCTCTCTTGCTTTACTATTCAACATTTTGTATCTCAGGTCTTGAATATTAAGAAATGATTAGTACAACTCCCCTTAAAAAGTGGGTCCCAGGTCCTCAGGGGCCACAGAATTGAATAGACATGATTACATCTGTAATGTCAACTGGCATCATTCTATTTTTAGTTGTGCCTATTTAACTCCTTTAATTTTTGGCTCAATCAACTACAAAATGATAACACCTGAACTGGAAATATATATAATACTCTGCCCACTTCCCTATTTAAGACAGCCTGAGTGTTCTCAGTGTCTTGGGAATTTAATTCACATTTTCCTGTTCCTGCTTTATGTTTAGATGATATCCAAACATTTCACTTTTAGCATCATCTCTCTTCTCTCTCTCTCTCTCTCTTTTTTAAAGAGCTCAGTTGGCTTGTTTATCTACACAGTTGTTGGTAAAAGGCATGAGAATTGCATGGGAATTGCATTGCCTGGGAATTGCATGGGAATTGCATTAAAGTAGCTAGACCAGGGGTTGGCAACCCCCAGCACATGTGCCAGGGCATGGCAGGTGAAGCCATATGCTACATCTCTGTCCCATTGAAATCCCATGGCACCTGGTTGTCATAAGGAAGTGGAAAATTCTATCCAGAATCCATAGGATTTTTTCTGAAGGCAGTTTTCTTAGACTGCACCGACTCTGGTAATCGGGTCCTTGGAAAATATGATGGGCTTCGCATCCTCTTCTGATAACATTTCCCCTCAGCTCTTTTACAGAATCATCTGAAATGATTCAGCAGCTTGTCATGATCTCACCATTGTATTGCGTGGAAACTCACTTGGCACGGAAAAAGGAACTGTCTTCCTTCTTTCTCAGTGTCTTGGGAGTTTATTTCCCTGTTCCTGCTTTATGTTTAGATTATATCCAAACATTTCACTTTTAGCATCCTTTCTCTCTCTCTCTCTATTTTAAAGGGCTCAGTTGGCTTGTTTACCTACACAGTTGTTGGTAAAGGGCATGGGAATTGCATGTGTAAAGTAACTAGACCAGGGGTTGGCAAACCCCAGCACATGTACCAGGACATGGCAGGTGAAGCCACATTGTTTGGCATGCCACAGCCAGCCCTGGCCCTGGACAGGCCCCTGCTGCCAGCCACAGAGCCCAGGCTGCTGGCAGCAGGCAGTGGGGAGGCTGCAAGCCCTGCTGTGAACAGCCCGGGCTCTGTGGCTGTCAGGAAGGGCCTGCCCAGAACCCGGGCTGCTCGTAGCAGGCAGCTGTGAGAGTACAAGCAGCTGTACCAGGGTCTGGAGCCCAGGCCTGGCTTGTTGCCGGGGGTGTCTGCCCACATGCCTCGGGGAGCACAGCAGGGAAGGGGCCAGGGCTGCAGTACCACAACAGGGATCAGGCCCCTTGCGGCTCCCTCACATTAGTCCCAGCATACAAACATCTTCCAGGTCAAGGTTGCGGGGGTTTTGTGGCACTTGGCCCAAAAACATTGCCGACCACTGAGCTAGACATTTGCTTTCAAAGCAACTTTTGAATATCAGAAGTCAGGTACCTCACCAAAAGGGTTTAGTAACCCTAATGGCTTTTATTTTCAATGGGTTGGTTGGCAGTTTTTTGTTTAAAAGAATCAGCCTTTAAGAAAAGATCAACCTAATAGCTATTGAAGTGGCTTTCTACATCTTCAAGGGTCCTCCTACTTCAGTCCTTGGCAAAGTTCTTACAAACATTGATGGGAGCAGGACTGAGCCCACTACGCTCATTTGCATTCCTGAAAGTGGAGGGACTATCTCAAAGGTTTCAAACTTTGGTACCTAAAGTTATGCAGCTAAATCCTTATGAAGTCAAAGAAAAACTGCCAGTAGTTGACACTTCTGAATATGAGTTAATTTATCAGAAGCCAAAAACATACTTATAGTTACTTATACAAACGGCATGTGAACAGGACTGGGTGGAATTTAAAGACCTAAGTCACAAAAAAGCAGTCCCGACTGACTCCAGTTCAGTAGCCACAAAACTGCACGAGTGCCTCTATTTTGGGGCCTGAGAAGATCCCTAGGCATCTTGGGTCCCTAGGCGTATGTGCATGCTCAGAAACTAATCAAACCAACTAAGTGCTGAACTCCTGCCTAGGTGGTATTGCAATCCAGATCAGGACTGAAAGGTGCATCAACTCCAGCTAATTCCCTGATCCATCAGTAATTGGCAAAATACCCATAATACCTGATTGACATCAAGAGCACTGAGTTCAGTACAAAGCTGAACATCCTGCAGTTATTTTGGGCCACAGCTGGTGGTGGTGGTGGTGCGCCATAACCTAGCATTCAGAACATGTTCCCAAGAAATGGGGGGCTGGGTCCCAACCCCTCCTCTGCCCAAGGGAACTCAAATTCGCATTTCCTAAAAGAGTGCCCTAACTGCTAGGATAAGGAATGGGGGAAGGTGGCACTCTCCACCCTAATGTTAACACTGGGTGACTCACAGCTAAGACTGGAAGACTGAGTCTTCAAGAAGAATAAGCAAGACGAAGCATGATTGTCATCCAGTGATAAGGACCCCTCTCAGCAGGGAAAGCTGGGTCCCTTCTGCTATGGTTATTTCTCTTTTAACCAGTGACAGCCTAATATAAAATATGCAAACAGACCTGTGGACTGACACTGGAACCCAGCTATGCACCTCCAAGCAGAGGGCTGTAACAACTCGGGCACAGTGTCATACTTCAAAGTCCTGCTTCTCCTTCTGATCCCAGGTATCTTGTTCTCTTCGCTGCACAATGGCTCAGCTTCAATAAGTGAGGTGGAGGCTACCAACCACCGAGCTTGTTCCATAGACCGGTGAATAGAACGTCCTTCTGGAGAATAGAAGATGTTGGTTTAAATCTTCATGGGCTGAGGAGAGCCTGGGACTCCTGGGCAAGTTGGCACTTTGGCAGCCATATTTGTGCGTGAACGTCTGGTGCTACACGCAAGCACCAGGTTTGTCCCGAATGAGGGGCCTGTGCCAGATGCCTACGCTGTCACGAGAGCCAAAATTCTGTTACACAGCACAACTGTGTCTAGCATTTCTTGTTGCTTTATTTTTTGGGCTTCACTGCTAGGAACTGAGGTGCTCTGGATCAGAAATGACAACCCCTCTCCATTGGCTCCCTAGGGATGCTAGGCACCTAACGGAGTTGATCTGGCCTGCTGTCCTGCAGCAAGGGACATAAATCTATGCAACACCTAAGTGGAAGCACCACAGGAGCTATTTGGATCTGGCCTAAAGTGCCAATATATGGATTTCAGCTCTCCTGTTCAAGCGGTTGCATTTGGAAATGCCAGTCCAGTTCTTTAAACAATATAACTAATGTAATCAAGCATTGATACAATGCATTTTATTTTCTTAACACCTTGTATGCTCACAGCGTCTAGAAGCTCATTAGCATCTCATGATACCGACGCTGTGAACAGAAAAGAAATGAACTGCAAAATTTAAACAATAATATGGAGCAAGCATGATGGATCAGAAGTAACAGTCAGGATGACATTTCCGTTAGACTAGAAGTGATCGCTCTCAGAATGGAGTATCCTATTTAAATACACAAACAAAGAAGTCTTTCTAGTTGGGGTTAATGGAGAATGGAAAAAGCAAAAGCTGGGATATGTTGACAGACATTTTAAACCACAGCAGAGATTGCAAAACAGCTGAACTCATAGCCCAGGATTTTGTAGTTCTTGCACAGGCAGATTTCTCTAAACTTATCCTTCTGGCCTGTTTTGGCTCTCCCCTGTACTCTATTCCTGCGAATGCCTCTGTTAGCTCTCACCCTTCTACTGCATCACATCCAACCTCTTTTTTCTGACTCTTTTTTTTCTGTCCTTTCCTAAGAGTAGATGTCTTATTAAATGATAGTCTGTAGCTCAAACAGACCAGATGATTTCTTCTGGTCTCAAACTCTGAAGCTATTTTTTCTTATCTTACTCCATTCGGTTCTTAATATCTTGCCCTTTATTTGTTATAGCAATGTGTTGCACCATCTTGAATCAGGTTGTAAACTCAAAGGGCTTGGTGCCACTCTTCCTATAGGTACATATATATATCTGGCACAATAGTGGTACCTGGCCAGTAAAAATAACAAGCAATAATAATTCCATTGCTAATTGAAAGCATCTCTTGAACATTTATATTTGTGTTTGCTTTTCTAGTGAAGTACATGCGAGAAGCAACTCCATATGTGAAGAAAGGTTCTCCAGTTTCAGAAATCGGTTGGGAAACGCCTCCACCCGAGTCCCCGCGGTTGGGTAGTGCATCCTCTGACCCACTGTCGCAGCTTTCCCTCTCTGTCAACAGAGACAAAAAAACAATTCCGCTCAAAATGTGTTATGCGACACACAACATGGCAGTGTCGGACCCAGAAAACAGGTAAGTAGTTGCCTTGTCTGGGGCCTGATTTTGTGCATTCATATAATGTATATGCTATTGATATATAGAGCTATTGAGCTGACACAAACATGGGTCTACCAAATGATAATCCTGAAGGTCAGATCCTGAGTTTTGTTATTCCGTTATGAATCTATGCTGTAACTCCACTGAAGAAAGATAAAATTCTGCCCTTTCACTCTTATAAAAGTTTCCATCTGAATATCTCAAGGCATTTTCACAGAAGCTTCGCAACAAAGTATTTTGCAACAAGTCTTTTGAGTTAATTGTTGTAAACACTTATCAGCTTTATGGTTGTATGGAAAAAATACTGTAGTGCTGTGATCCAGTATTTTTGTTGAAAAATATACAAGGTCACACTTACGCTTTAAGCACAAGGTCACACTTACACTTTAAGCACAGTTGAGTGACTGTCTTGAAGGAAAAGAATCTAGTTAAGTTGATTGCATCTCCCTAGCTTCCTTCACTTGTTTGACGCTGTGAAGTTGCATGTCTTTTTTTATTTTTTAAGAGTAGCATAATTGTCATATCCATTAAACTTGTTTGTGGTTAAAGGAATGAACGAGAGAGAGAGGTTAAATTTGAAAAAGCTAATGGGGGAATTTCTGTGACTTTTTGTGGTTTCTTTTCAGTGTAAAAAATAAGATGTTAGCACTCATTTTTGACGTGTGTGGAACAGCTGCATCATACCAGCGCACTCAATGGTCTTCTATTCTAACAGCTGCTAAAAAGAAGGACCACTAGAGCTAGTGAAGCAGTGGAAATACAGACTGATTCTTCTGTCCAAATAACTAGCCTTTTTGTTCTTCACAAGCATGCAGGCTTTTAAAAGACACTGTTTGGAACTCTTTTGGATCTCACCATTTTATGCCCAGGGGGCTAAAAGTTACATTGCATTTGCTGGAGGTGTGGGGAGGGGAGGAGTGGGAGAGGACTGTGTAGGGTAGTGATTCCCTTTATCCTATTTTGGTTGGAGGGGTAGGTTTTATATTTCGTGGTTCTGCATCTCAGACAAATTTGCAGTATTTCGGCTGCTTTCTCTCCATTTTTTTCTTCCCCCTCCAGTCTATTTTAGGTTGAGTTCCTTTCAGAGTTGTTCTTTTCTTTTCTTCCTCCCTGTGTGTGCATGTTGCAGTTTGGCTTGCATTTCCCAATGCATCCAAGGGCTAGTGGCAAGGTTATGGATGTCAACCTTTATGAAAAAGTAACACAGTACTTTGCAGCAGCAGCTCAAAGCATGACTGCAAGCTGTTAGCACCATGCTGGAGTAATGTGGGCCATTTCCCTAGAATACTATATCTTTAAATAAAACAGAGCTTTTCAGCTGCATGGGGCTCCCTCGGCTTGGTGTTCTGTCACAGAGCACGTATAAAACACTCTTGAGTCACACTACATAGAGCACAATGGGTAAGATGTTCACTGACCGTTGGCTGCCAGTCCTTTGAATTTTTCCCCGCCTTCTTTTCCCATGTTATAATTTAAAGCCTCTACTACTATTCTGATCTTAATTTAAAGAAAAACAAAAAACAAGATCAGTTTAAAGGGCCAACATCATATTGTGCACATCGTATTTTTATAACGGGGTTTTTAATATATTTACAGTACGTGATATTGATGTGTATCATCTTAGGTGCTACTAGGTGATAAGGTGTGGGAGAGCTATATTGCTTGTTATCGTACCTTTCAGTTACAGTGCTTTCATTTCCTGTGGAACAAATAATGTTTTTACTGTAGTCCATCATCAAGTAGTGTACAAAAAAAATCCCTCACCGAGATTTTTCCATCCAACTGGATTTCACTAGTATGCGCTAGGACAGTGGCTCCCACCCTGGGGGCGTGACCCAAATCAGGGCTGCGGGGGGTCCTCAGTAGGGTTGTGAAAGGCCCTCACACACCCGCACGTTCACGCGCGTGGCCCAGGAGAGGCAGATAGGTGGGGCAGGGCCACCGCACACAAATGGGGCAATGGCGGCTCCCCCGCCCGCTAGGCCACCGCGCTCCATTCTCAGCAGTGCCCGCGATGCCGGGTTGGGAGTTCCTGTTGGTGGCCAATTTAGGGTCGCAGCAAAAAAAGGTTGGGAACCACTGCTCTAGGAGCAGTGACATTGCAGAATATCATGGGTTATGTGGTCATGCATTCCTTTTTTTACAGTCTGCATCGAACTGTAGTTTGATTTTCATAATTTTAAAACAGCACCTTACTGCAAAGGCAAGACCAAAAGGTTTCATAACATGCTTAGAGCACTACTGTTTTATATTATAATGCCTAAACAAAGGGATCCTATAAATGACAATAAATCTATTGTAGTATTTTATAAAAGCAGAATTGGCAGACTTCCAAAGCTTATACTATGCAGTGTTCATAAAAGGACTTCAAACTGTTTTTGAAAACGCTTTCAAATACAGCTAAACCCAATCCTACTTGTGACCATGTCATAGCCATGTTATAAAATGATACTGTAGACCAGCTAGAATGATCAGGCCATCCCGTCTCCATGTTTTCTGCTGGACTGGCTTTACTTAGTACAGTTACTCCCTTGTGGGAAGGGATTAGGAAGGAAATACTGGTATTTATAAAAACTAAAGAGGATCCCAAACCAAAAAAATTGGGGAGGATTTGAATTTACCAATAAGACTTGGAGGAAGTTCTAGCTCTCACTGTTTTTAGTGTTGGCCTATTCAACCAATGTGGTATCTCAGTCTTCCTTTGGAGATTGGGCCAGATAATGAGGTGCCTGTGTACCTCCATGCATTTAAAGAGTCTGGTGCACCTGTTACTGAGCCCTGGCAATCATGAGGTTTTGTGCCAAAGATTAGTCTCCAGGCATTGGTCCAGGTCTTTCATTTTCCTGACATTTCTGTTCGTTAGTATAGCGTCAGTGAGATAGTCAGTCTGTTGTTTTCATTATTACTTGATATGATGGACTTAATGACAAGGGGGAAAAAGACATTCTGTGCAGTACAAATCAATGCCAAGATTGAGGGCATAAGACAATATTTTCAATAAACAGAAATGTGGTGAGAGGACATAACCATGCAGGGCAACAGCAATATTTATCTCACTTACACTGGTTTAGATGCAGGAGTCTGCGGTATTTTATTTTAGACTGGAAGAAACTAGGTTGACATAATTATCATGGCAGCCTGTTTTGCACAACATTTATTGACAAGTGTCTTATGCAGTAGTAGTAGCAGTGTCAGGCCTCAAAAGGAAAAGCTTCCCCTCCCAGCCTAGAGCATGGCAAGTTATTAATATCAAGAAGCAATAAGAGTTTCTGCAGTACAGCAAACTTCCTCATTCATTTCAATTGATATAGCTAAGGTGGGAGAAGGAAGTAAATAGGATTCCTTAGGGAAGATTTGTTTTCCTTTGCTCTTGTAGGCTTCTTTAGACTTGATATATAAAAACTTCTGTGCTCAGAGTGCAAGAATCATGGCCTCTGCTGGACTGAATGACTTGTGAAGCTAGGCTGCCTGCATTCAAGGTTTTTTCCTTTTTGTATATACCCCAACCCCCTGTTTTCAGTTTGTCCAAACTGATAAATCAAACTGGGGCCTGGTCTTGCAAATGCTGGTGCACATAAGAGACTTCACCCACTGCCAGCAGTTCAGCTGAACTAGCAGCATGCAGCCTACAAGTAAATTCAGCAGGTTTACTCTCAAAGTTAAAGTAACTCAGGATTGTGGCATTTGTAGGATAAGGTCCTTTCATTTGAAGGAATGTGAGAGTCTCCTTAAGAACAGGGGAGAAGAGCTAAGGGCAGTTTCACAGTGATGGACAATAAACTAAACAGCCTGCACGGAGAGGCGAGACTTGCGCAAGTAAAGCCAATTCTGTCCTATAGAAACTGCTCTAAAATCTGTTAAATTTAATAGAGAATTAAATTCTTGCCATAGCTTTTAAAAACTGTTTTACTGACAAAATGGTGAATTATAGCCTTGCTATAGAACTGTATGGGTGTTCTAAAAGTGCTCCAGGAAGTTTTATTTTCTCTGGAAATCTCTTGCAGAAGTGTCTTACAGAATTTAAACCATACCGCTGCTAGTAATTATTATTACCCTTCCAGTAGGATGTGGAGCGTCAGCTGATTGTGTCACAAAGATGTGAAAGGCTGTGCAAACCTAGAGCTCACTGGATATTTTTTGTCAAAACAGTTCCTCTACCCTAAGATGACCCTATTAGGAAGCTCTATTTCAATTAAACTGAAATAGTCCATGAAATATTTCACAATATTATGTCAAATCTGAAAATTTAAAACAAAAACTTTTCTTTCATTTCAGAAAAGTTTCAGAATTTCATTTCAAAAGTTTATATTGTATGTCAGCAGTACATTAAAGACATGTTATGTCATACTATGATGTATTCATGGCTGGTACTGACATGTAATTAACCTACAAGTATTATAGAAACAAAAGTAAAATGAAGTTTTGAAATGAAATTTTTGTTCTGAAATAAGATTACAAAATGTATCTAGAGGGAAATTCTTAAAGATCTCTATTTTGGAATTTCCATTTCATAGGAAGTTTAGCTAATACTTGGGTTTTGTTTCAATACAGAAAGAAAATTAAACTTTGAAATGTCAAGGTTTCCCACCAGTGTCTGAGTATTAAGGCAGCTTAAAAAACAAAGATAGCCAGATAGATTTAGACACACGAATGAGGACTAAGCCAAGACACTCACTAAGATTTAAAAGCCTTATGCCTATGAAATGCAGCCCCTGCCTTGCCTTGATGTATGCAAAAGAGTTGAAATAACTGACATTACAAAATATGGGCCGGATTCTTTACTTAAGCAAGTAGAAATCAGGGGCATCTTTACGTGTGCTCCAGGTTTGGGGTAGGGAGAACGCTTTAATTAAAGCGGCTCTTGGGAGCTGTTTAAGCTTTAATTAAAGTGCCTCTGCTGCCATTTTAAAGTGCGGGGGCTCTGAATACACAAGATATCGAGGCTGCTGGAGCATGCTAATTAAATTAATCAAGTC